CTCTGAAGGATCTGGTAGGGGTGGGGGGTCTAAATAGTTTCAATTCTTTCGGAAAAAGGAAAAGGGGAACTTATAGGGGATGAATGCTTATTATGGAAAATGTGGTATTTTAGATATTTTAATATCTACAGATCAAACTTCTTATTTCTGGGAGATACTTAGGGGAAATATATGTTGGATATTAGTTAACAATATCATACACTATGCTGTAGATAATAAAATTATGGTTATGTTACTGCATATTTATTTCCAAAAAGCATTTGACTTGATCTTCTCGACATTTATAGACAATGTAATAAATAATTTATCTTTGAGGAGGGTCTCAAGAAATCAGCAAAAAGCATTTCATGAGGGAGCTAATTCACTTATTAATCAGAAACTCATTGAAGGAAGCAATATCTCTGGACTTGATTAACTTAATACATGTATAGGGAGAGAACCCATAATATGGATGGGTAGGCACATATTCAACGAATATATTTATTTTCCCGAATAGAATTTGGATTAGGACAATACAAAGTTTACTCTATAAGGTATTGAATTAAATAAGGATGTTGATACAAAATTGTAACGCTAATATCAAAAATGTTTGAAAAAGAATGATTATGGCCCCAATTGGAAGAGTTGACTGAAAATGATCCTCATAAAATCTTTCATGGAAGGACTAACATTGACATGGATAAGAAGACTATAAAACAACTAGTAAGTGGCATCTAACATCTAGGGATTTAGATGAATTCCCTTTTTTTAAAGTTTTATTATCAAATGTTAAGCACCACACTCTTAGTCACACATACCCAGTCTTACTAGGTATTTAGGCATCTTATTAAATGTTACACTAATAAAGAAAAGTTTCATTTTGTAACTATTTATATTACTATTTTAATAATATGTTTAAAGTACAAAATTATTACAAAATAAAATAACATCACCAACACAAGGACTACAGAATGGATATATTTTATATACATTTTTTAAATTTTATATATATATAATTGATATTTAAATATTATAAATTTTAACATTAGTTATTAAAACATCTGAAATCTTATGTGATGTATTATTAAATTAAATATGATCAGCTTCCACCTTAGATAGAAGGGTTAACCACAGGTTTAAGTTCAAGTTCTTTATTACTTTAAGTCGGTTGACTTATCAGTTATAGCATATATACAAAACAATATGATACACAAACAACATACAATATGATATACACACACACCTCTCTCTCTATTGTAAACCGTACAATGGACCTCTCTATTGTATACAGTACAATATACCTCTCTATTGTATACAGTACAGTGTACCTCTCTCTATTGTATACCATACAATGTACCTCTATTGTATACAGTACATTGTACCTTTCTCTATTGTATACCGTACAATGGACCTCTCTATTGTAAACCGTACAATATACCTCTCTATTGTAAACGGTACAATGGACCTCTCTATTGTAAACCGTACAATGGACCTCTCTATTGTAAACCGTACAATATACCTCTCTATTGTATACAGTACAATATACCTCTCTCTATTGTATACAGTACAATGTACCTCTCTCTATTGTATACAGTACAATGGACCTCTCTATTGTAAACCGTACAATATACCTCTCTATTGTAAACCGTACAATGTACCTCTCTCTATTGTATACAGTACAATATACCTATCTATTGTATACAGTACAATGTACCTCTTTATTGTATACAGTACAATGTACCTCTATTGTATACAGTAAAATGTACCTCTCTATTGTATACCATACAATGGACCTCTATATTGAAAACTGTACAATATACCTCTCTATTGTAAACCGTACAATGTACCTCTCTTTTGTATACCATACAATGGACCTCTCTATTGTATACAGTACAATGGACCTCTCTATTGTATACACTACAATGTACCTCTCTATTGTATATCATACAATGGACCTCTATATTTAAAACTGTACAATATACCTCTCTATTGTAAACCGTACAATGTACCTCTCTATTGTATACACTACAATGGACCTCTCTATTGTATACACTACAATGTACCTCTCTATTGTATACAGTACAATGGACCTCTCTATTGTATATATTACAATGTACCTTTCTCTCTATTGTTTACAGTGCAATGTACCTATTTCTCTGTTGTATACAATACAATGGACCTCTCTCTATTGTATACAGTACAATGTACCTCTCTCTATTGTATACAGTACAATGGACCTCTCTATTGTATACCATACAATGTACCTCTCTATTGTATACCATATATTGTACCTCTCTCTCTATTGTATACTGTACAATGGACCTCTATATTGTATACCATACAATGTACCTCTCTTTTGTATACCGTACATTGTACCTTTCTCTCTATTGTATACAGTACAATGTACCTCTCTATTGTATACAGTACAATGTTCCTCTATTGTATACCATACAATGTACCTCTCTCTATTGCATACAGTACAATGTACCTCTCTCTATTGTAAACCGTACAATGGACCTCTCTATTGTATACAGCACAATGGACCTCTCTATTGTATACCGTGCAATGTACATTTTGTATTTATGATTAAAATTCATTCAACAGAACTTGTTAAAAGATTTTAAAACATTTAACCCCTGTGACCTTGAAAGTCGAACAAGGTAATTAAGTTGAACAAATTTGTGACTGTGACTGCGAAAATGGGGCCAGATGAGGTAAAATCAGAAATTGAGATTTTGATGTTTTCTGAAAGCCAACAATGTGAGAAATAAAACCCCAAAAATATTAGTTACCAATCTTTAACTTGATTGTGGAGAAAATCAAGATTATGCAACATGTAATTTGAACAAAAACACAAAATCAAATAATGATATATACACACGACTGTATTTTATTCAACATCACAGTCATGTAACGTTTATGTAATTACAAGGTAGAATTAAATAAAACTAAGTTAAATATATTCAAAACAGTTTACAACTGCAAAATATGATATGTATTGTTTATTACCACTATCAACAGAATATATTGAAATTATTTATAATAGTTGGAGATAACTGAAGATAAACTTAATAGTAGAAACATTGAAAATACAAAGTTCATAACTTTGTCTTAATCTCACAATGGTATACATATGTATAGTCAATCTGTTTATTATGATCCTACAAATTTCTGAATGGTTGAGTTAAAAAAGTATATAGGTACATGAATTAGCTAACAAGATTGACAAATAATACATTTGAAAAAAAAATAAAAATATTCATATAGGCAAATACCACCGAAGAAGGTTAACTATAAAGGGTGTTATTACATGACATGGTGCTAATTCCCAGCCCTGATTGGAGGAGCGACGTCACATGACGAGTCTGTAAATATGTTACAGACCTTGTTCTATAAATAGAAAAGTGTTACAAACCTCAAACTAGAAATAGAAAAGTGTTACAGATCGCTACTAAAAATTAGCCGAGGTAATTTCCCAGCCAGTCTGTAAATCTGTTACCATGCATTCACAATACAGTGTACTAAATTCAAATACAAATGAATTATCTCATCAAATTCTGAACTATGTTAATATTAATGATGAAATTAAATATCACATGAATTGAATCTGAAATTCAATTTTAGTTTATGTTATTTTGTATTTGAAGTCCTACACTCTGTGATTCCAAAATGGTCCATGCCATCCATGTGCTTATGCCATGAAAAATTATTAATCTTATCGTAAAATGTCATATAATAAAACAAGTGTGGACTTCAGTTTCGGTCTATCCCTGATTTACGAACTTGGTCTGAACAATAATCACAGAGGCCGAATAGACCTCACCTGAGTCCATAATTGTATAATAATCATTTGATTCATAATTTTTTTGAAATCACAATTCTTTTTTGCATTGCTATAATAATTGTCATTCAACTATTATCTTTTAATTATCAAAGTCAGGTTGGTAGACTCACTGAAGTATTTAAAATACTCAGCTCTAGCAACATTAAGATGAATTCGTCATATAGAATATACAATAAAGGGAGATAAACCACAGTCACATATCATTTTTTGGGGAAATGCTGATATACACAGTTTGCAACATTCTCATTTCATTGTAGCGAAATAAGTGATTGATCTTGGATTTAGAACAATTTTGAATATATATATGTTTGCCACACAGGCACTAGGTCAGATACTACTTACTAGTAATGCAAAATATTTTGAATTATAAATTCCAATATACACACATGATACAGCAACACTATTTTTGGAATAGTCATCTCTTTTGACTTAGGTCTCTTAATATATTAGTGGCACATTTTCAAACATAATAAATTACCCAAATAATGCAAGTTAAATTGCAATGTCACATCAACATTGCAGTTACATAAAATCATTGCAAAATAACAAAAATGGATCATATACATAATAAACAGAATTTCAAACTTGTTCCTGTTGCACATGATCATGTATTGTTACATATAATATTCACGAAACTGAAGATTGTTTCATAAAACTTAGTATGTAACTTATTATGAGAATGAGTTACATATCTTCTAACGTCACAGTACCCAATGCGGATCCCTATTATTGTGACGTTATATCTGTAATCCAAACAATTCTGATTTTTTTTTAGATTAAACTTGCACAATGACGCACATTTCAGTAGTTTGATAGTCATAGTAAGGGTTTATCTCAACAGTAGACCTTTTCGCTTACTAGGATGATTTGGCATGTCATTAGTTTCATCAACATTGACTTCTGACTTTGGTACAACTGGTTTCGGACATGTACTGTTCTTTGAGCATTCTGACTTACAGAATTCTCTAATGTTATCAAACAAATACCACTGCCGTGATGGGTCAAGTCCTACTGACACTTTTTCAACTGGCACATCATTCCCAGAGGGCAGGATGTCTTCGCATTTCAGTAAGGTTCTTTAAAGGTTTAAAATATTGTTTTAAATACGTCTTCCAGTCTGTGAACTTAATGGGTTTGTCATCATCTTGCACCAACTGGGGGATGTTATGTCCATTTCGTGACGATTTCATTACTGATAGGGCAACTTCTTGCAGAGTTTCCACAACACTTGATCTCCAGCGCAGCTTCCACACACCGAAATGCCAGTCTGGATCAAACTTTGTGTGACCAGCTATCTTCATGGAATACCGGATCGTAACATGAAGACCTGAAAGCAAATAAAGAATTCTTGAGATTGATAAAATTAATGTATACAATTATAAAAAAAAACCCAGCTGATTGATTGGTTAAATTTTATGATCTTTGATTTGAACGCAGAACTATAATGAGGGCAATAATGTGAGTCAGATTAATCATTGTTTCTAGTCCTTACATAAATTGCAAGACAATAATTTCCGATATGCAGTCATACAACTTCCACTCAATTTTGACTGTTGTGTTATGTGAGAAATGTTATTTATTAATTAAATGTTTGTTACTGTTAACTTTCCAATCTTGTTCGTTAACTAATCAACTTAATTAGATATTTATTGATGACAAACTGTAAGTCAATGTCCGGACATAATGGCAACTTTATCTCCATGACCATGATGCTGGAAACAGTGATGGACCATGCTGACAACTGAGTTAGCTCCCTTGCCTATCCCAGAGTTTTCTGCCTCATCCACTAAATAGAAAAACTGCTTTCCTGTCAATTAAAATAACAAATAATAATACAAGCATAAACTAGTATTGAGTATGGATCATATTATTTGAACCCAGGAGGTTAGAGGCCTGTGATATGTAGTCCAAGACCTCAACCACTGAGCCACTGCAGACCCCCCATTAAAAACAGTATACCTTTTATAAATACTGTATGTAACATAAGCTGTAAAGTGGCTCAAACCAGGTGCCATGTATAACAAGGTCTGTACTCTACCAACTGAGCTGAAGAAAAGTTTTCCCTACTGAAGTGAGTTATTTTAAGGACACTTTTGACCAGCCATAAATATGTACGTACTTAGTATAAGTGTTTCCTATAATTTACCTGAGCCCTCCGAGCAGATTCCAAAAACACTGCACTTCCTTGGTGTCTTGAAGAAGATAGGACCTACTTGCTGAGCGTGATGGGGATAATGGACTTGCTGTGCATAATCCCAAGAATAGTTGAAAGCTCCATCCACTGAACATGGCGGATTACCTGCAAGGAAAATTAATCACTAAATTTCCGTTTTGTAAATGATTAAATCAAGCAGTGTTGGAGTATTAGTGGATTGGCGGCAAATTTGCGAACGACGCCACATTGTCTGGAAAACCTAACCTTCTTTAGCCAATGGTAACGCCTAGATATATCGGTTGACCCTCGTGTCGTTCAAAACATTACGAATGCGATAGGCCAATTCTATTGCGTGAATTTCCGAACCGAAAAGCATCAAGCAGTCAGACATAAAATCACACTTCACTTTTCACTCAGTGTAATACGTCGTAATAAGTTTCATGAAATCATAGTGTTGCATAAAGCTTATAGACTTGGATTTTTCGAAAAGATTTTGATCTTCGAACAGGATTGACCCCGTCACAATATATTATAATATTTTTTCTTCGTCAACAATACACGTGGTTTTAGGACATAATACCACCAGATCTGGTACGTTCACCGGCATCAAGATGTCAAGGTATAATATATTATCGATATTATCCTATGGTCACTGAAATCAAATTCAATTCAGTTATCTACAAAAGTTTTATTTATATTTCGTGTGTTAATCTGGTCGTCGTGTATTAATCTGGTCGTAGATCTAAATGTAGTTATGAACTATATATACATTGATGTAAGGATTTTTGAAAAAAAACTTAATAGACAGAGAGGCACTTAATGATTACAAAACATGATTTTTAGCCTATCTTTAACCATCACACTGGCAATAATCCAATACCTTATATAGAAGTATTGAAGTATCAATACAGGAAAGTGCCCGCGCATCACAAAACAAGCCTAGCATAATCTGTTTCATACGATTGTAGTCCTCATATAAACTCATTATTAAGAAGTAAAATACACTTGAGAATCAGGATCAAAGTTGGGAGCAACGTTTGTGAAGGGTTGAATAAACATAAAACGTTTCGGAATGAGAAGGCGGAATGATATGTGAGTAAACCGGACTTAAAATAACCTATGAAAATCAATTGTTTATTTGGCTCGAGCCCGGCACGGTAGCCGTTACTTTGTTGATGCCGCCCCGACAGCCCGGGCTTTCACCTGTGTGAAGTACCCCTTGTCCCCCTAGTCTAACATAAAGATGACAGTGTAAAGATTACTTAATTGAAGAAATTATGTTGAAAATTGACTGAATTAAATCGATTTGAAAGGGGTAGTATCACAATTGTTTATTTGGCTCGAGCCCGGCACAGTAGCCNTGAAAATTGACTGAATTAAATCGATTTGAAATGGGTAGTATCATAATTGTTAATTTGGCTCGAGCCCGGCTAGGTAGCCGTTACTTTGTTGATACCGCCCCGATAGCCTGGGCTTTTACCTGGGTCAGTACCCCTGTCCCCCTAATCTAACATAAAGTAGACAGTGTAAAGATTACTTATTTGAAGAAATTGTGAAATTATGTGGAAAATTGACTGAATTAAATCAATTTGAAATGGGTAGTATCACAATTGTCAAATAAATAATTATTATCTTGACCATAAGTACTTATTGCACGGAGCGCGGCAGATAATGACTTTTTTCGTTATTCAAGGGGCCATAACTCGATCGCCAAATAAATGTTTTCTTCTATTTCCCCTAATGGGCCCACCTATCTGCCCCAAATAAGGGGGTCCACACATCACAGTTTAAACAAAATTGATGGTTTTGTCCCTAAGTATGCTTCTGACTGCATTTGATTTAAATCCCTTCACTTTTAATTAATAGGAGAAAAAAATCCTCTATTCCCCCTATTGGGCCTCGCCCCTTTGCCCCCAGAGGGGCCACACCCTTTCTCCACAGTCAGACAGTTTATCTGTCACAACCATTTTATGGTTTCTTTGCATGGATAGGAAGGTAGGATTTTAAGGAATCCAAAAGACAATTTGTTTAAACTTCATAAACAGAAACTTTTTCCCACTTTCTGTCACTTTAAATTTATCAGACAAAAAAATGGACTTTAAACACTTCATATAGTAGTGGGAAACATAAACTAATATCTGCCTGAGTCACTTTTGCCTTAAATGATTTCAATAAAGTAAGCTACTATTACAAAGTATTTACTCTGAATTCTTACCCTTAGAGTAGGAAGAACTGCGAAAGTCAAGATCCCTCTCCTATTCATTCCCAATATTAAAAAAAAAAGTCTTTATTGATTCACTTTACCAGGCAAGTTTCTGTATGGATTTATTAAATTAGATACAAGATACAAGAAACTTTTCTTGTCGTATATATGTATGTAACGTGAAACATTGTCTATGGGATACTGCCCAAGAGAGAGAGAGAGAGAGCTGGAGATATCAGCCGAGGGAATTCAACCCATCATTTTAGTATTAAGAATCAGGAGCAGATCCAGAATTGTTTTAGAGGGGTGTCGCCATTCCAAATTTTGTTACTTTCGCAGCTTATGTATATACCCCTCTAATGTTACATTTTACACGATTTACCAATTTATATTTAATTTTGAAATCCATAATTTAATTTCATCATTCAATTTTTCAAAAAAACACTTGGCTATGAAGTTTACCATGCCTAGCTTCCAGTTATCATTAAGTAAACAGATATTCCTAATTTTATAAGAGCAATGCTGTTCTCAATATAAACTTATAAATAGTGAAACAGTTATTGAATTAAGGTAAAAGCTAGGATTGTGTCGCCATTTCTCAGTAGAATTTCTTCAAATTTTGTAGTTATTTTGCTGTTCTCAATATAAACTTATAAATAGTGATTGCAAGCCTTTGTTGTTTGTTTTCACAATTATAACCATTACTATTATCCATATGTTGTAAAGCGCCTTGGAGTAATTTTATAAACTATATAGGGCGCTATATAAATGTTGTATATTATTATTATTACCAGTTATGAAACTTTTACTTTTACAACCCTCTCAAAAAGCTTTTTTTTCTATCTTTTGCTAACTGCCAATTTTTACTTTTTTTTTCTTTTCTGATTAATCATATATTTATCTAGCAGTAATATGATTATTTATTTACTATATAAACGCACACCCACTAGAATAAAAGTAAAAACTCGCATACACCGTACGGACCCCCTGGATAATCTCGGCCTTCAGCCAAGCCCGGTAAAAGAAACAATGCACTGTAACTCACGGAAGCAGAGATGTTTCTCTACTGCCGGGTGTAACTGGTTGTCTGAGACCCGGGGTACATAACGAACACAACATATACCTCCCTATTAGAACATTAAAATACACAATAATTGCACTTTCAAATAATACAATAAAATACATTTTATTTTACAATACTATCGAATAATTTTTTTAACTTATTACTATTATAAGCCTTCTTGGCCGCTTTCGATCGCCCTCCCATGAAACAAAAACATTAGTCAGGAACAATAAACCCAGATGCAGCGATTAGTGAAGATGGGCTACGCCCAAAACGCCAAAAAACACCTTCAACCACCGTTCTAGGTTTTACTTAGGTTGCAGTGAGACTGCTCATCAGTATATCAAGACTACTCATCAGTATATCAAGTCTGTTCATCGGTATATCAAGACTGTTCATCAGTATATCAAGACTGCTCATCAGTATATCAACACTGTTCATTAGTATATCAAGACTGTTCATCAGTATATCAAGACTGTTCATCGGTATATCAACACTGTTCATTAGTATATCAACACTGTTCACCATTATATCAAGACTGTTCATCAATATATCAAGACTGTTCATCAGTATATCAACACTGTCCACCATTATATCAAGACTGTTCATCAATATATCAAGACTGTTCATAAGTATATCAAGACTGTTCATCAGTTTATCAGGACTGTTCATCAGTATATCAAGACTGTTCATCAGTATCTCAAGTCTGTTCATCAGTATATCAAGTCTGTTCATCAATATATCAAGACTGTTCACTAGTATAGCAACACTGCTTATCAATATATCAAGACTGTTCATCAGTATATCCAGACTGTTAATCAATATATTCAGACTGTTCATCAGTATATCAAGACTGTTCATCAATATAGTGGGACAGTGTTCATAATTATAGTCAGACTGTTCATCAATATAGTCAGACTGTTCATCAGTATCTCAAGACTGATTATCAATATATCAAGACTGTTCATCAGTATATCAAGACTGTTCATCAGTATATCAAGACTGTTCATCAATATATCCAGACTGTTAATCAATATATTAAGACTGATTATCAGATATCAAGACTGTTCATAAGTATATCAAGACTGTTCATCAGTATATCAAGACTGTTCATCAATATATCCAGACTGTTAATCAATATATTAAGACTGTTCATCAGTATATCAAGACTGTTCATCAGTATATCAAGACTGGTCATCAATATAGTCAGAGTGTTCATCAATATAGTCAGAGTGTTCATCAATATAGTGGGACAGTGCTCATCAATATAGTCGGACTGTTCATCATAAATCAAGACTGGTCATCAGTATAGTCAGAGTGTTCATCAATATAGTCAGACTGGTCATCAGTATATCAAGACTGGTCATCAATATAGTCAGAATGGTCATCAATATAGTCAGCGTGTTCATCAATATAGTCAGACTGGTCATCAGTATATCAAGACTGGTCATCAGTATATCAAGACGGGTCATCAATATAGTCGGAGTGTTCATCAGTAAAGCCAGACTGTTCATCACTATAGTCAGAGTGTTCATCCATATAGTCAGAGTGTTCATCAATATAGTCAGAGTGTTCATCAGTAAAGCCAGACTGTTCATCACTATAGTCAGAGTGTTCATCAACATAGTCAGACTGGTCATCAATTTAGTCATACTGTTCATCAATTTAGTCATACTGTTCATCAGTATAGCCAGCCTGTTCATCAGTATAGCCAGACTGTTCATCAATATAGTCAGAGTGTTCATCAATATAGTCAGAGTGTTCATCAATATAGTCAGAGTGTTCATCAATATAGTCAGACTGGTCATCAGTATATCAAGACCGGTCATCAATATAGTCAGAGTGTTCATCAATATAGTCAGAGTGTTCATCAATATAGTCAGACTGTTCATCAGTATAGCCAGAGTGTTCATCAATATAGTCAGTCAGAGTGTTCATCCAGTCAGACTGTTCATCAATATAGTCAGAGTGGTCATCAATATAGTCAGAGTGTTGATCAATATAGTCAGAGTGTTCATTAATATAGTCAGAGTGTTCATCAATATAGTCAGAGTGTTCATCAGTATAGCCAGACTGTTCATCAATATAGTCAGAGTGTTCATCAATATAGTCAGAGTGTTAATCAATATAGCCAGAGTGTTCATCAATAGTCAGAGTGTTCATCAATATAGTCAGACTGGTTATCAATATGGTCAGACTGGTTATCAATTAATTCGGAGTGTTCATCAATATAGTCAGACTGTTCATCAATATAGTCAGAGTGTTCATCAATATAGTCAGAGTGTTCATCAATTTAGTCAGAGTGTTCATCAATATAGTCAGAGTGTTCATCAATATCGTCAGAGTGTTCTTCAGTATAGCCAGAGTGTTCATCAATACTGTCAGAGTGTTCATCAATGTCAAGCCTGGTCGTCGTCAGTATAGTCAGAGTGTTCATCAATATAGTCAGAGTGTTCATCAGTATAGCCAGAGTGTTCATCAAAACTGTCAAAGTGTTCATCAATAGTCAGGCTGGTCATCAGTATATCAAGACCGGTCATCAGTATAGCCAGACTGTTCATCAATATAGTCAGAGCGTTCATCAATATAGTCAGAGTGTTCATCAATATAGTCAGAGTGTTCATCAATATAGCCAGAGTGTTCATCAATAGTCAGATTGTTCATCAATATAGTCAGAGTGCTCAGTGGCAGTGAGACTTGTATTTGTGGCATTAACTGATAGTACCAATGATGAGAATATTTCTTTAAAATATCAGGTACTCGTAGCTGTTTCCTGTTCATTTATAATTTACTAAGCTGCTTATGTTTCTTTACAAAACAAAAGATTCTCTAAGTTGATGTGAATCATAATAAACAACATGGACAAATAAATGATTTTTTCATATTTATTAGATACAAAATAAATGAGATATACATATCGCATTGTATAAACAGTTATAATCAAGACAATTGAAACATATATTGAAAACCTAAACCTATAGTCAATGAAAAATAACATCACATGCCCATCCAGATTATAACATATAAAAAAACAATTTTATAAACTGGCTATCGACAAGATACAGCATAGCACTAAAATAACTAACAAAATCATCAACCAAATACAGCTGGTAAATGTCAGTAGATATAAACTACGATATACAGTATATATGTTCACATCACAAGTCTCACAAAATTATAACTGAACAAAATCACTCACAGCACTAGCAATATGACAGTACATTTTAATACATAAAAACATATAACTTGTACATTTTATTCTTAATAATTTATACAGTAAAATCACAATCAATACATAATTAAGTGAATATTCACATGCCCCTAAAAAACAAATATTCACAATCTGTCGTTAAAATAAAATAAAAGTTACAGCACTGTGTCATTACAATATCATTACATAAAGGACAAATAACTTATGAATAACAATCTCTGAATGTCCAGCATCACACACCCCTCCAGAGAACACAGTAGTTGGTCGTAGACATCCTGGCAAGCTCGTCAGTTTCAACACTCCTTCTGGCTATGACAGGTGTCCCCAAGTCCACATCTCCTCCGAGGGAAGTCAGGATAAGGGCAGACAACTCCTGGACCTGGCGCTTCTTGGTGGATAGGTACTGGTCAAACATCCTGCGGACACCCTGGATGATGGACTTGCGGGTCAGTAGATGTAGAACCAGGCTGTGAGTGTCGTCCAGTGTGGAGTAGAAGAGTTGACGGTCAAGTCGGAGCAACTGGTCATCTGGAATGAAGATAAAAATTATTATGCCAAAAAATGAAAATGCAATACATGGTTCAGGGTTTGAATGCCATTGTTACTATTTATGGTAATATGTCAACCAATTCAGTGTCATCTCAAGGATTTCATTTTTCATTTTTTATAAAAATTGACAGAGGATGAGAATCATATAATTTTTCAGGGTTCCGTCAAAGTCAAAGTAACAATTACTATTAAGATGAATAATACAAACAATAAATGAATTTGCTTTGAGACATTTTCTGCAATTTGAAAGAGGCTATTGAGACATTGTTTGGGTCAGTCTCAATTTTTGCATTAAGTGAAATTTTCTGTTGACTTTATCATTTTGGCAGGCACATAGGGTAAGTAAAGTGATTTATATTACCTAAGTAATGTTTTTTGAAGAGGACTAGTAAAAATATCATTAACAGAAGAAAAACATTCTGCATTTTACTTGCAAATACTTACCTAAGAAGTTAACTTGCTTGGCAGCTCTGTCGTGGGCCAGCAACAGATTCTGGAGTTTCTGGGCATAGCAAACAACATCAGTAGTGGTCATCTCAGCCATGGTAGAGGTCAAGTAGTGGAAGGTAGTGAGTAGTTGATACAACAAGTGCTTATATAGACACTGGTTGCTTCAAAGGATGATTTTGATTGGTCCTTAGAATCAACCCCACCTACAATTTTACTCAATTATCACTTCAATTAGACTTCAAAGAATTGTACAGTTATATTTGAGTAGATTTTGTATTGAAGGTAAGATCAAAGGGGTTTCAGGTGTGGCTTGGTGTTACTGTACAGGTACTGCAATTAGGTTCTGTTATAGACTTAAGATCAAAGGTCTCTTCCCCAGGTATGGCTTGGTGTTGCTGTACAGGTAAGTTGATATGCTAAGATCAAAGGTCTCTTCCCCAGGTATGGCTTGGTGTTGCTGTGCAGGTAATTTGATAAGTTAAGATCAAAGGTCTCTTCCCCAGGTATGGCTTGGTGTTGCTGTACAGGTAATTTGATAAGTTAAGATCAAAGGCCCTTCCCCAGGTATGGCTTGGTGTTGCTGTACAGGTAGTTTGATAAGCTAAGATCAAAGGTCTCTTCCCAGATATGGCTTGGTGTTGCTGTACAGGTAATTAGATTAACTGAGATCAAAGGTCTCTTTCCAAGGTATGGCTTGGTGTTGCTGTACAGGTAACTAGATTAGCTGAGATCAAAGGTCTCTTTCCCAGGTATGGCTTGGTGTTGCTGTACAGGTAAGTTGATATGCTAAGATCAAAGGTCTCTTCCCCAGGTATGGCTTGGTGTTGCTGTACAGGTAATTAGAGTAACTGAGATCAAAGGTATCTTTCCCAGGTATGGCTTGGTGTTGCTGTACAGGTTATTAGATAAACTGAGATCAAAGGTCTTTTTCCCAGGTATGGCTTGGTGTTGCTGTACAGGTAACTAGATTAGCTGAGATCAAAGGTCTCTTCCCCAGGTATGGCTTGGTGTTGTTGTACAGGTAATTAGATTAACTGAGATCAAAGGTCTCTTCCCCTGGTATGGCTTGGTGTTGCTGTACAGGTAATCGTGCAGAGAATGGATGGTTAAGATGTATAACTTATTTTCCCCATGTATGGCTTGGCCTTACTGTACAGGTAATGACACTGAATACCGTTGATCAATTCAATTTATTACCAAATGTACATTGCATATAGGCGTACAGAAATATACATATTGATAAATACAAATATCTTGTACAATGGCGGAGAACATATAAGCAATAGATTCAATTCCATACATAATAATTACAAATTCATGAAATAGTTATGAGTTGGGGAACACTTTAAGCTTTTCCTAAGGTAACTTAGCGGACTCTTATGAAGCATAATTTAGTTGTTTATGAAATATTACAAATAAAGCCTTAAGTTAACCAAATTTCTAGGAAATAACAAAACTTCAAAGTCACCCAAGTCAAAGCAACAAATTCAATCTGTAGCTATATCAGATATCTGTAATTCACTTACAATTTATTTTTTAATTGAAAACATAACTGTAACTGAAATGGAAGTAGATATCAGTAAGGCCCCAAGTCAAAATATAGCCGGAATTTAGTTGAATCTACAGCAGGTTTTTAGTAGGAATTTTGCACTACTAAATCACTGCTGTACTCTGCTAAATCACTGCTGTACTCTGCTAAATCACTGCTAAATCACTGCTGTACCCTGCTAAATCACTGCTGTACACTGCTATACTATGCTAAATCACTGCTGTACCCTGCTAAATCACTGCTATACTAAAATCACTGCTGTACCCTGCTAAATCACTGCTGTACACTGCTGAATCACTGCTGTACCCTGTTAAATCTCTGCTGTACACTGCTAAATCACTGCTGTACCTTGCTTAATCACTGCTGTACACTGCTAAATCACTGCTGTACCCTGCTAAATCACTGCTGTACTCTGCTAAATCACTGCTGTACTCTGCTAAATCACTGCTGTACACTACTAAATCACTGCTGTACACTACTAAATCACTGCTGTACACTGTTTAGTCACTGCTGTACTCTGCTAAATAACTGCTGTACACTGCTAAATCACTGCTGTACAGCAGTTATTTAGCAGAGTACAGCAGTGATATAGCAGAGTACAGCAGTGATTAAACAGTGATTAACCAGTGTACAGCAGTGATTTAGTAGTGTACACTACTAAATCACTGCTGTACACTACGAAATCACTGCTGTACACTGTTTAATCACTGTTTAATCCCTGCTGTACTCTGCTAAATAACTGCTGTACTCTGCTAAATCACTGCTGTACACTACTAAATCACTGCTGTACACTGTTTAATCACTGTTTAATCACTGCTGTACTCTGCTAAATAACTGCTGTACACTGCTAAATCACTGCTGTACCCTGCTAAATCCCTGCTGTACACTGCTAAATCACTGCTGTACCCTGCTAAATCACTGCTATACTAAAATCACTGCTGTATCCTGCTAACCCACTGCTGTACACTGCTAAATCACTGCTGAATCACTGCTGTACCCTGTTAAAGCTCTGCTGTACACTGCTAAATCACTGCTTTACACTGTTAAATCTCTGCTGTACCCTGCTAAATCACTGCTGTACTCTTAATCAAACAAATAGTTGGTTAATTTATTAGTACCTACAGCAGGATTTGCGCAGGGATTTAGCAGATTTTTAGCGTATCAAATTTTCAAATGAGCAATACAGCAGGATTTCAGCAGTCATTGCAGCAAGATTTCAGTGAACAGCACAGTAGAATCTCAGCAGTCATTGCAGCGGGTTTTCAGTGGACAGCACAGTAGGATCTCAGCAGTCATTGCAGCAGGTTTTCAGCGGGCAGCACATTTGGATCTCAGCAGTCATTGCAGCGGGATTTCAGTGGACAGCATAGTGGGATCTCAGCAGTCATCGCAGCGGGTTTTCAATGGACAGCACCGTAGGATCTCAGCAGTCATTGCAGCAGGTTTTCAGCGGGCAGCACATTTGGATCTCAGCAGTCATTGCAGCGGGATTTCAGTGGACAGCATAGTGGGATCTCAGCAGTCATCGCAGCGGGTTTTCAATGGACAGCACAGAAGGATCTCAGCAGTCATTGCAGCGGGTTTTCAGCGGACAG